TTATTCTGGTAGTACTTTTCATCTTGGTTCTACATCTAGTAAAATGGGGACTTGAGGAGATGGAGGTTTGCAATTTATTTATTTTATATTTTTATATAGGCAGAGTGCCATTTACTTTGGTGTGGTGGTCCACTAATGTGCCTTTACAGTGGAAATTCTTGTATTTGTATTTAGGTCACAACTACTGACAAGGGATTTGTATTTATAAACTGCTAGGGGAGGAAGATATTCTTTTTCTTCATAATCATTTTGATAATAATCAGTTACAGCACTGCATTTCTGGAAAACATGCCTTTGTAACTTAAAAAATTTGTGCTCTTAGAATGGATTTAATTTCTTTTTGGAAGCTGGATAAGCTTTCAGATGAGACATGGCTGATTTATTTCACTACTTTGAAGAGATCCCATTTTTGTGTATTTTCACAATGGTAATACTTACCCATAAGTCTGAGACTACTTTTATTCTGAATGACTAAAATACTGAACTTCTGAAGACTTAGGGGAGCAAATTGGTTATGACAAGAAGACATACAGGGATTAAATTGTAGGGAAAGAAAAGCTTAAAAAGTGTTCTAGAATTTTTTTCTCTTATACCTTTCTCCTCATAAGCAACCTAGAAAAATGACAGAAAGTCGCAAAGACAGACTGAATGCTCTGGAAAAATATAAGAAACTTTGTGGGGAAATAGTCTCAAACACAGGTTTAAGAGTAAAGATTATGGTTATGTTTTAAAAGCTGGAAGTGTATAAATGGGTAGCAAACTATACCTGAGATTTCACCAGACATATGACTTTTGGTAAGGGTGTTCTGTTTATATTTCTATATACCTTGATTCTATTACTTTTTTTTTTTTAGAAGTTTCAGCATTTTGTGATGAAAATAATATTTTCATATGGAAGGGTTTAAAACTTGCACAGCTAAGAAAATGTCAAAAAATAATGATGAGAAGTAATGGATATTATGATAAAGGTAAACAAAAAATACTAGTCAAAACAAAATCGAAATTGTGTCTTTTTAGTAGTTTGAAGACTCTTAAATTGCTTCCACAGGCCGCTGGCAGCCTGGGGTTTTTTTCTGAGTAATCTAAAACTGCCTGAGATAGCATAGCTGGGAATACCTTTTGTATGAAAAATCTTGCATTTCTGAGATGTGTTGAAGCCTCATTTGACAGCAAGTTTTTTTGGTTTTGCTGTCTTTCAGAGGCTGTTCAATAAATTACATTTCCATGGCTTTTAGGTTAGAACCTCTCTCTTACTCAGTATCACTTGGATAAAGTGTCATCTGAGCAGCCACAATCAATATAAGCATGAAATCCTATTTTCACATACAATTTACATTTGATGTACTTCTCTTCAATATAGTCTTCTCTTTCTGTGTAAGACAGTTACGGTTTATTTAAAAAAAAAAAGAAATCTCCTGACATTGCTGTTCTGAGTTTCTGTAAGTACTGGGGTGAGCTCGCTGCCACCAGTACTCTGTTCAGAGATGATTGCCTGGCCCACAACCACCCTTTCCCGTGCCCCAGTGCTGGCTTTGCCCAGCCTAGGCCACTCTTTGCCCACCCATAGTTACTTTTTCCGCAAATTTGGTGTTTCACTGTAACTTTGTATACAATGTTTGTTTCATGTAATATTAATAGTTCAGTTACCTTAATACCTTGCAAGATATCCGCCCCTGAAGTCTGCCCTGTGTTCGACCTTTCCATGGAGCTTGTCTGCTTTTTGTGTAACTCTGCCCTGATGATCTGTACAGCCACTCTGCAGCTTCTTGCATTGTCTGTCACATCCAGCTTTCTTATGTCCAGTAGTTTTTCACAACCTGTTTATTCATCTCAGGCCAAGGCCTGGTCATCTGCAGCTAGGATCCAACTGGCTGACAGGTCATTTCTCCTGACACTGCTCCACTGCCCACTGGGGCAGCTACTTGAGCAGTGAATGACTGGAGGAGCATCAGTCCCCACACTGTTGCAAAAATTGAGTCAGGCTGGTCCTACTGCTGCCACACCTTTGCCACCTCTTCCCAGTGTCATCTTGACATTTTTTTCTTTTCTTACCTGTTTGTAATTTCACCTCTTTGTCCCCTGCCTGCAAGTACTATAAGGACTAGGTGCCAGCTGCTGAGGGTATGGGGCAAGCAGCAGGAGTCAGGGCAGGAGCGTAGGTGTCTTAAGCCTGTGGTGTCACCACAGTGGGTGAGGGTCTCCGCTCCAGGCACAGGGGCAGTAACAGCATATGCACTGTCAGGGAGGACAGGCAGTGTGTGTCCCCGTCTAACCATTTTGTGGCTCTGTGATCTGGGAAGGGATATCAGGTGGCCATAGGGCCCTTGCTGGTGCCTGTGAGTGTGTGCATCTGCCTTCTGGTGACTTGCTGCCAGCCACTAAGTGGGAGGCCCATGAGGGGGCACAAGAGCTATGACCCAGGCCAAGGGGTATTAGATGGACAGAAGCATAAGCTGTGCTGCAACTGAGGGACCCACAAGTCCTCATGCATTTGTGCATTTTGAGAGGGTGGGAGGTGGTATGCTCTCAGTAGTGAACTTCAGTCCTGATGAGAAAAGAAGGAAGAGGTCTTGGCTGGCTCTGCTGAAGTTCATGTGAGTCCTGAGAGTGCTACATCCTGTAAAGCTGAGCTTCTCTACTGGTTGAACCTGTCAATAAGAAAGCAACTGCTACATATATGGAACTGGGACAGACACCTATTGATCTCTGGACACATTGGGCTGGGCTGAAGCATCAGGGCAGGAGGAATCCCTGGATGGGCCTCGAAGATGCTGGAGGGGGCATCCATTTGTAACATCCCTTAGCACAATTGGAAAGAAGGTTCTATAATAGATATTCAATACCAAGATTTTCCTTGTGAGTCAGGTGCACCTCAAAGTTGAGAAAACTGTATAAAAACAGCACTGTTTCTTTTTCTGTTTTATTATTTGTTGCTGACCATTAATAGAGACAGAATAAACATGTATTTATTACAGTAACTTGACTCATGTGACTACATTTACAAAACCAAGGTTCTGTGGAAGAATATATAAGTCAAAAATGCTTAGTTTGCCTTGAGTCTAGGAGAAGTGAAGGAGATAATTTATAAAGTTGGGGATTTAAGCCTGAACAGAAGGTTCTTGGCCTCATTTTGTATCCTCGCCATTTCAGTGTGGCTTTAATGACTTCACATTCCAAAGTGTAATTCATTCTTCAGTATTATTCGTGATTCCGCAATGTCTTGGGAATTCTGCAATGTTATCATATCAAAATTAAACTTCTGACATTCTCATGGAGGGATTGCTGAGGTTTGTCTGCCTCTGCCCTGAACCCTGTTGCAGCATTTAAATCCTAAGGAGACAGGAAATAGGCAGTTTTATTTGGGATGAAGATCATAGGAATTATATTTTTTTGTGTTTTTGTTCTTTTTTCATAAACCAACAGCTTGCTTTAATGAAAAAATTGGGTTAGAGAGCTTCATTCGTAACCCCTAACCTCCTATGTGACAGTAAGCATGTCACTTAACCAACGTGTCCTACTTTCACCATCTGTGAAACGCTTTGGAAAGTCACGGAAAACTGAATCATAGGTCTTTTCCATCTCTGTTAGGTCATCCAGTTGTTCATCTGCCAGTAGAAGATTGTTTCCTACATCCACCAGTGTTTTTCCAGTGTGGATCCTGTCCTCTAAGTGATTGGGCTTCCACTAGTACTTTTGGGAGATGATTTTGCAGAGTTCTAGATCTCATTGTCAGGAAGTTCTGACATTCACAAAAAGAGATACTTTGTTGTTGTTAATTTAACTGAGTTCTGTTACTTTTTTCCCATTACTAGATAATTGTTTACAGTTTTAAGTCATACGCAATTCATGATAAATAAATAGATAAATTGCAAGTGTCTGTAAAGTATCTTATCTATACAAAGAAGAAAAACATAAGGTTTTGAGATGCAAGGTATGACCTTTTATAAGAAGGTAAGCTACTTGGTTCTTCCTGAAATTACGTCTAAGGAAATGTACAGACTGCTCTGGATTTACAACAGAAAAGGAATAGAATATGGAACTTAACAGTGGAGTTGAAATGTAGGTATTGGAATAGGTTTCAAGAATTGTTAAGCAGGGAAAGAAAGAAATTAACAAATACAATATAGTTGTTGAACATGAAAGCTATCATAAGAACTAAGTTACTTTGTAGAGAATTTTAACTTTTCAAAATGTGGAGACGTTATTTGGGTCTGGCATAAGAATAGTTAAACTGCTTTTGAAATGGCAAATGGCTATCTAGGAAACTTAACTGGTATGTAACATGACTTTTTGTTGTACTGCCCTAGGAGGAAAAATAATGTTCAATTAATTCCTTTGATGAGGTTAATACAGTATTTTGTAATACAACCTACATAAAGCATGTGTCTTAAAATAGCAAGAAATCTGTCGTGGGGGCATGCTTTATAAAATATTCAGCTTTTAACAAAATCTACTGTCCAGAATTTTCATTCCTCTATTTTAGCTGCCACTGCAAATGCTTAAGTCCACAAATGCAAGCTGCATATTCAGTCAGTCTCTCTAGAAAAAAAAAAAAACATACTATTTTTTCATCTCACCTTCATTTTCATTGTCTTTAACTTAACATATTCATGTACATTGATAGGACGTAACTTCATCAGAAGATAAGTCAGGAATTTAAGGCCCTCCAAAGTTTATTTGTAATACAACAATATGGACAATTGAAATATTTCTGTGAATAAAACCACCCATTCTACATACTTTGCTGTTGAAAAATCCCTCTTGCCTTCAGCACTAGTATATGCAGTCAGATTAGGTATAAGGTAGTGTTTTGAAAAGGTCAGTCAGTATAAATGTAGTGTTTACATACGCACTAAAAAATTTGCCATATAATGAGCTGGTTTTCTTACTTTAAGAGATGAGGGAGGTGCCATGATTAGAATGTTTATAAGGAAGGTGAACCTTAGAAAGACTTCATATGGTCTGATCATAATAAGAATAAACTTATCTTTTGTCTACAGGAAATAAAACCAGATGAAGTTACCAGACTTGCTCTTAGGACAGAAGTTAATTTTGAAAGTGTCTGCAAAAAGGTAAGCCTTGCTGGTTTTTGTTTTCCTTCCCCTGCTGCTCTGAGCGTGAAAAGGTGCATGTGTGGGTGCCAGTACATGGATTTGGCACAATGTGTTCTGTTTGTTGTGTTGTATCTTCATTGGACATCTTCCTTTTCTGAGGAGTTGTATTCACTGGGACATATCTACAGAAAAATGAATAGCTATCTGGTATGAATTGTCATTAGTCAGGTGGTCTAGTCCGTAGTAATTACAACTGAATACCATGAAGCATAGTAGTGATTTCTTAGTCTTTATAAATAGATTTGTTTTGTTTATATAGTATACATGATGTAGTATAAATTCAATTAGTATATATTAATTTTCAATTAGTATAAATAATCTGAGTAAGCTTTCAGCAACAGTTGGAAAAAGGCTCTCAATACTTTTAAATGCAGAGAGAAGTTTCTATGTGTAAACAAAACAGGACAAACATTAGCTTGAAATAAAGGTGGAATTCTAACACTCCTGTGACTCGTACATTTCAGTGTAATGTTTCTCTTGAAGCCTGCTGATGGTACAGTGTCAAATATTAACAGCCTAACTTGTGATGTCTTAAGAGATTAAATGAAGACATAGAAGTGTGACGACACTCATTGAAATAAGCAGCTGAGGCTGAGAGCAGTCCTATTTCAAAGAGCATGTTACATTTTTGATGCAAGAAGGCAATTCTGAGTTTAAAAATGTCAATGCATTAAGTTTTATGTTTTTTTCACTTTATCCTTAATTCCTGGTTGGTCCACTGAGGAAGGCTGAAACTTGAAATGTTTGTTGTACACAGGATAAGTTTTAATGTAGAATTGGGTAATTTACTCCTTTAATGGCATCATTAGTTTGTAATGTAACTCTGCTGTTGCATATTACAGTCATGTGATGTAGTTCAAGTGTGCAGCAAGTTTTTCAATGTTTCATGTCAGCAAAATCAAGTTAATAGGAAAATATCATAGGAATTTGGTATTTCTGGAGAAGGGTTTGGGTAGAAGTATCCTAACTGTTTTTCCTTCTCTTAATGATAGAAGAGAGTAAGGAAAAGGTCACAGATAACACTGACATGAAGCTAAAAAAGCATTCTTTTTTTTAAATTTATTTAACCAGGGTTTTCCAGTGTGAAGATGAGGCAGTCAGAAACTGGTTACTGTGGTATTAGAAATGGGGCAGACATGAAGATTTTGAATGTGTGAGGACACATGGAGAGGGATTTAGTTCTTGAAGAGGGATGCTAAATTCAGTGACATTTTGTGGCTTAACCATAGGAGATTCTTCTGCCAAGACTTCAAATTCATCAGGCTTATGCCGATTTCATAAAGTGAAGGAGCACAAAAATGAAATTATTGATGCTATTTTTTAAAGGAGTTTGTAGGTTCACAGCTGGAATTTTATTTTCTAAGGTGGCAATTTTATTGAAAACAATGCTGAAGAAATGTAATTAATCTTACTTTCACCCCATTATTGTTTATATATTCATAGTCGTGACTGATGGTGTGCTTCTCATATTTACTTAAAGTCTTAAAATAAGCTTTAATTCAGCTTTAATTCTTGAAAATGTGTAATGCATGGAGTTGTTTCAGGGTTTTGATCTGTTTTCTGTTACTTTCTGCTGGTGGCCCTGTTTTTCTGGGGAATGGAAGCCTGTTAATCTTACAGTTTTTAGTGGATGGAACTTACATTTCAAATCAAGCTGATGGATAGATGCTGATGCTTTCTTAAATCCGCAGAGGGTTTTAACCTCACTGCAGTAGAAGAATATGTATAATATATATCATAACTTCACTGGTTGCTTTTGGTTGACCATAACATATCCCCAACTAAAGAAGGCATCCCTTCTGTGCTGAAACAGAAGTTATTTCTCCAGTATTTTATTTCTTATTCTCCCACTTAGTCATTAAATATACAATTTAAAAAATTTTGATTTTCTGTCCTTAGCAATATTCTGTAGTCTCATGAAATACAGACTACACTGTTTACCTTTTCATTAACTTGAGTTTCAAAATATTTGAAGGAAAACATCCTGTGGCTGTTTTCATTTTCATAATAGGTTTGTTTTCATTGACAAAAGGCAGTCTGCTTTTAATTCACTGTGGAATGCTGAATATTAGTTTTGCATAGTGGTCATGTAGTCAAGATACTTTTTTAATTGCTTCTGCTCACTGAGCTTTTATGTTCCATTGCTATTTCCCAGCCTTTTTCAGAATAAGTTAAGCATACTTTTCTGTTTAAAAAGAGTTTGGATATATTTCCATCAAGTACAATGAAATTGTGCTAAGTGTTTAGCAGGTAGCAGTTTACTGGGAGTTCCTGTGATTTAGATTTCTATATGGCTGTATTGATAGTAAGCAGATCAGATTTGTCGAGTTGCTGGCGGTGTTGGCAAGAGTCACCAGCCCCCTGGCACAAGACTTTTTATAAAAGTGCTACAGGAAGCAGCTGGTGAACAATTCTTTGTGTATGTCTGCTGAAGTATGTTTAATCTATTTGAATATTGCTATAACTAGCACCATTGTTACCAAGAGGTAATAAATCCTATAGTAAAAATTTTGATAAATGTTACCGTGCAAGTTGACTAGGTTTTATATTATTTGTTCTATTTACAGCTGTTGAAGAGCAGAACCTGTATTTTGTAGGTTTTCTCCAAGTCCTTGTGCACTTTTTGCACCAAGTTGTGCATTGGCTGTCACAAATATATTTGTGGCAGACATTAGTAAAATTAGAAAAGCATGTCATAGAGCTCATATTTTAAACTCACATTTGCAGCTGTGATGGCATTTTGAGCTGTTGCATACAACATATATTCCTGCAGTGTATGAGAATCTTGATTCATCAGTGTTATGCTCCAGGACACTGAAGTTACAAATTGGAAGCTAATCCTAATAATGCTGTTCATTACAAGCAGAAAACTGAACTGGGCACTGGCAAAGCACTTCAACTTGTCGCTAACAGAGGTTTTACTGAACAGTCATTCAGATGGGTGAAGATAGGCAGGATAAATAAGTTAATACCAATTAATGTCTTTCCGGTATTACAAAAGCATGTTTATAATCGGGGTGTTTCCTCAGGAAAGGAGGACTTTGGTCCACCTGCAAACACCTTCATCATAACCACAGCTGGTTTTGTTGCTTTTGCTAACAGATGTTCACTAACAAGTCCTTGGGCAAAAAGGACATGAGAAGGAAGTTAGAAAGGTGTTTCTGCCCAGGACAGACAGGAAGAAGAATGACAAAGCTACAGGGCTAAATATGTATTAACTTTATTTCTTTCAAAAGTGTGTTTCAATGACATTATCAAAATAGCATTTGTCAGATTTGTGTCCTTTTTAAATTATGCAGGTGAAGACCTGAGATTAGTCTATAAATTCACAGCTTCTCTGTCATAAATAACCAAAAAAAGAGCAAGGGTGGAGTAGTCACAATACTAGTTTTGTTCTTCTTTTTAGATTTATATTGAAAATGTTTTTCGCACCTACAGTATGTGAAAGGCTGTGAAAGTTTATGAAAGGCTGCTAGCTTTAAGGCTTTAATTAAGATTGAGTAATTAATTGGAGCACCAGGTGTCCCAGAATCACTCACTAGATGGATACAAGACATCATTTGTGCTGAAGGAATACACGAGACATTGTTCTACTAAATACACTTATTTAGTAAGGAAATTTCAAACTTAATACTCCTCGTAATTTTGGACTTTTTTGCAGGATAAGAAAGATGTTATTTCTGAATCAAGTAGAATTTTTGATTAAACACATCTATATCTATAGAGCAGCAGTCATATCTGTATTTCCTAATTTTGAAAAATAGAAAGATTTCTCTCTTTTCTGATAATCCTAAATGTATGTTTGTGATCTTTGCTTTCATTTATTTTTAAAAATGTACTTCCTAGTTGAAAATATCTTAACTTCTGCATGTACTGTAGATTTAATCTGAGGAAATGTACTAAATCATAAAAAAGGCCCCTAAAAAGGGTCTTCTGCATTTTAATTGGAGACTTGCTGTTAGCTTCAAAGGCTTTGAATCAAACACAGAATAGTTGCTGTCTTTTGTTTAGTGTTAGGGGGATTTTTCCACAACCTCCTCTCTTCTCCTCCCCCCAGCCCTCCTGAAGAATTCTATTCATGACACAAGCATACTAATTAGTCTAGATGTTATTATTGATGTAAAACTTCTTTTTCTGTTGTTAGTGCCTTTAAGAGTAGATTCTTATGTAAATGGATTTTTAACATTGCTTATGGAAATACTTTGTTTGCAGTACATAAATCATAGGGACAAGACTATTGTATGAATCAATTAACTTTGTATTACTGATATGGTATTCCATAAGCATTGTATAATATGCTTATCATTAATACATTGCAATTTTGTTGTTTGATTTTGGCTATGTGGGGGCAAACGGCTGGTGGTTTTGGGGAACCCATGAAAAACTTGATTCTCCTTCTCTAAATTTTGGTTATTACACACACTGATGGCCTACCTGGATTTCACAGATAATCTCTATCTCCCTCCCTGCCCCCTTGCCTATAAGTATTAAGTACTGGAAACATTGTTATCTTATTTCCTTTTTTTCCAGAAGGACTGTACTGCCTTACTAGGTACATGGTTTCTATTCTCCAACAAAGTAAGATTTGTTGGAGAATTATTTCAGCATGAAACAATGGATACTAATTTGCATATTAGATGCTAGATAGACTTTTCTCTCTGTAGTAGATGCATCTGTCAACATGTTAGATTTCTTGGAAATATGTTGCATTCATTTAATATTACAATTTCCTGCATCACAGACTAAGATAATTGTCTTTATGCTGGGCATCGGTGTTACAGAGTTTAATTCTTTTTTTTCCTGAGTATTTTTACTCACTTTGAATGGAAGTTTCACTAAATGTATGAAGCCACAGTTTCCTGAGAATTTTCTATGTCAAACACCAGATGTTAGTTAAACAGGAATGTCTCTAGTCTTCCGAAGACTACTGATGAAGTGAAGAATTTTGCATTCATTGA